GTGAACTACCTGACGAATAAATGCTAGACGTGGTGTGGATCTACAGCCACACTGCTAACCTCCGAGGAGATACGGCTACTCTGTAGTGAGAGCGTCAGCTGAGCACCCTCTATGCTCGAGTGTTGCCGGTACACCAAATAAATCGTGAGGCTTTGAAGACGCGAGCGCGAGCAGTAGGAGAGTAGCGACGGAGCTGATTTCCGGCACAGCTGCAGCAGAGCTAGCTTGTGCAAGAACGGAATATGGAGTGATCTGGTCCTCGAACTCGACGTCTCTTGTTTCGACCATCAGTTTCTTCCCCTCTTCCCTCACGCATACGGACCTCCCGGGCATACTGTCGGCCCGGTTACGCCGGCTCTGCGCCACGACATCCCAGCGATCTCATACTTTGGCGCTGACAGCGATCCTTCTGTCAGTGCAAGCGCTACGCGCGGATCCGAGGAGAACGGACCAGGACGGTGGGGCCGTACGCCCACGTCCCGTCTGTGGGCTCCCTCCTGAGCTCTCGCCCAGTGAGGCCAGCCTAACGCCCCAGGGCGTGGGCGGTGGCTGCCAACTGGTCTGCGGGCCGGTTTGCTGTCGCGTTGTTGTTGTCTGTAATGTCGTGTAATCGTATAAAGGAAGTGTAGTAACTGTGTCTTGCGGGAAGCACGGCAGGGGTGGGCTCTAATTGTTCTCCAGCTAGGCACTCGCCCTGTCAAATCTTGGCACCATACCTGCAGTTCCCAACCCTCAACCTCCATCCACCACTCTCGTCCTGCCTCACACCGCTGGCAGTTCCTGTCGCCGATTACCACCCGTGCTATGCTCACCTCGTCCAGCCTCCGCGTATCTCTCCACCCCGGGTGGATGACTCCACAAACTCCGTACTCCTCCGGTCTCTCCCCTCCGCGGCAGACGTCTTCCTTCGTGGAACTCGAGCGTGCTCTTCACTCCAACACTGTGCAGCAGGCCCAAAGGGGGCTCGCAATGCTTGGGCGGATTTAATTCCAAATTGTTCAGCGATCAATGCTAACCATCGAATCCCGACAATTGGCTCAGCTCTCCTCCGCCAAGATGTGGTTTAGCTAACCCCGGAATGGAGACAGACTGGGCTGGAGAGCGCTACAAGAGATCGTGCGACACAACGCATCAGAAAATGGCAACGAGGTGAAATCTCGATCTCTGGGAGGAAACTGTTGCCTCGCAAATATCAAACTTCACCCGGACCCAGAGGTAAAGCAAGGGGAGGGGGGAAGAAGCCTAAAGCCCTCCAAGAAATCAACGTTAAACGGGCTAAGCTGGCCGTTCAAGCCGGTCAATATAGGAAGAGCATCCAGGCTTTGACCCCCGAGGGGCTCGCTCCGGCCACTGAGTCCGCCTTGGAAGAAATGATAGCCAAACACCCTCGATCCCCTCAGCCTCCTCTTCCACTACTCCCGCCCCCTCCTTCCATTTCGGTTAATGCCCAATCTGTGTCGAAGGCCTTACAGTCTTTCCCCTCTGATTCGGCTCCAGGTCCCTCCCTCCTTAGAGCAAATCATCTGAAGGAAGCCGTCCGTTGTCCTACTGCCTCCTGTGGACAGCGTGCCCTAAGGGTAATCACAGCTACTGTGAATCTCCTGGCCGCCGGAAGAGCTCCCCCAGAAGTTGCATCCTTCCTTTGTGGCGCTACCTTACTTGCGGTAAAGAAGAAGAGTGGTGGTCTCAGACCCATTGCCGTTGGCGAAGTTCTTCGCCGCTTAACTTCAAAGTGCCTCTCTCGCGCCATCCAATCCGATGCCTACGATGTGTTGACACCTCTGTAAGTAGGTGTTGGGGTCAAGGCTGGGTGTGAGGCCATCGTTCACTCTGTTGCCCACATTTTGGAAAGAAAGGACCTCCCTCCTCTTTCACGGTGGATCCTTTTGCTGGACTTCCCCAACGCATTCAACAGTGTCAGCAGAGAGCACATGTTCCGTGAAACTCAGTCAAAGTTGCCAGGCCTGTCATGCTGGGTAGAATGCTGCTACAGCACAGAGTCTCCACTGCTTTTTGGGGACCATTCCCTGTGCAGCTGCTGCGGGGTCCAGCAAGGGGACCCTCTTGGCCCCCTATGTTTCGCTCTTACCCTTCAGCCAATTGTTGAGAGAATCAGAAGGGAAATACCCAACCTCATCTGTAATGCTTGGTACCTGGATGACGGGACTTTATGTGGCTCCCCTGAGGACCTTGAGAGGGCTCTCGAGATCATCGAAGAGGAGGGTCCCGCAAAGAGGTTTGCACCTCAATCGTCACAAGTCTCTCCTCTATATTCCACCAGGTGAAGACCTATTCCTAAATCCTCTCCCCCGTGAGATTCCGATTACCAGCTCGGGCTTCTGTCTCCTCGGGGTTCCCCTCGGGCCAGACCAGTTTCGGGAGGCCGCCGTTCTTGGCAGGGTTGCAAAAATACAGAGTGCCCTGGCGAAGTTGGGGGACCTCGAAGATTCACAAATGCAGACTACCCTCCTGAGGTCCTGCCTCTCCCTGCCAAAATATTTCCCTTAGGACATGTCCTCCGTCTGTCATCAAGAAAGCTGCATCTCTATTTGACGACTCAGTACGGGAAGCCCTGGAAGACATTACTGGAGGCCCTCTGTCCGATTGGGCATGGCTGTTCCCTAGGGGGTCTGAACCTTCGTACCTGCGTACGTGTGAACGTGTGAAATAATTTCGGATAAAAACAAGCGCGTACAAAGCCGCGCATGCGCACTTATACGACGTACGACGACGGTCGGTCGTACCGTATATAGAAAATTCCGCTTGAACGAACGGCTCGCTCCCGCGCGCTCGCCAATTATATACGTCTGCACGTCGTTTAACGCTTGGGTTACTTATATTTGTCCGAAATGGTTTCAAAATATTTATTTTCACACTCTACCTCTTGCTCTTCGATGTGTAATCTGAGAGAACTCTCGTTCATTCGGTGCCTGACTGAGGCTGTATATACCTCTTTCCTACGTGGTTCCAAGGTGCAAGTTAAAATAGGCCAGAATGGCTCATGCAGATACAGTCATTGCTTGCTCGTTCCCGCTCGCCAAAACTGCCCTGTATTCGCCTACTAGAATTATTTTGGTAATTAACGGTTAAAAACGGAAGTAGGCGGGCAAGCACGCGCAGACGCGCAGCGCGGCAGTGCTCACACTATCGCGTATCGCAGTGTTTGCAGCGTGTTCTGCCCGCCAAAGCCACTCAAAGTTCTTCTCAAGTTCTTTCCTGACATACGGCATCCCGATGGCCACACTAGTCGATCTACGTAATGCGGACCTGGACTCGCTGCTCAAGACGCAGCTCATCCAGCTGTGCAAGGACTACGGTCTCCCAACCGGCGGCCTGAAATCGTCTCTGGTCGCCCCACTGTTGACCCTTCGCTCCCAGCTACCTCCCCTCCCCGCGTCCTCCACAGCCACCGCCAACGCTGGTTCGCAGCAGGCCTTCGGATTCCCGCTGACAGCCTCCGCCGGCCTGCCCGCGACACTCGCCGCCGCCTCACTCTCCGCTGGCGGCGTCCCGCGCCTGCCAGCGCCGTCCACTCACGCTGGCCCTGGCCTGCAGACGTCTAACCTTCACATTATGGCTCAGCAGGCCGCGCAGCAAGCCGCGGCTCGGGTGCTAGCGCACTTCGTTCCTCCGTCGGCGTCCGCGTCCACCGCAGCCCTCCGCCACCGGGTCCTCGCCGCACTCCAGCCAGGTCTCTTTCGTTGGCACCGCCCCAACTCTCCCGCCGCTGCTGGGATCCATGGCAGCCCCGCAGTCTTCTGGCCCCAGTGCCACCACTGCAACCTCACTGTCATGGGTTTACCAGCCTCCCTTTCTCTCCCCCCAGCATATACCTGGACTGGCAGCAGCTCCCCCTGTGGCTGTGGCCCCTCCCACCCAGACCCCAGCAACAGTGCCCCTGCCTACCTACCCTACCCTCCCTCAGGTGACTCCGTACAGCAGCTCAATCCCCCCTCCGCTGAGTTCGTGGACTTTAATGAGCTGCTGCATGCCCTAGAGTCAGAGGGTACGGAGGAGACTCCTGTTCAAATTGAGCTAGGGGAGGACAATAGGCTTACCCTCCCCAGGAAAACAAGGAAAAGACAGGTCTTCTCCTTTATTGAGTGGGCAAGGTGCTTTGCCGTCTGTGGTAAATGGCGCCTCATTATGCACCTTTCCTACCCACCAGGGAGCAGTATCAATGACGGCATTGGCAACAATGACTTCCCGCTGCGCTATTCCACTGTCTATGACGCCATAGACTCTGTGATGCGCCTTGGTCAAGGAGCTCTGATGGCGAAGATAGACATCAGGAGCGCCTTCAGACTCTGCCCAGTCCACCCCTCTGACCACCACCTCCTTGGCATGAAGTGGAGGGGCTCATTCTACTTCGACCGCGTCCTTCCTTTCGGTCTCAGGTCAGCCCCTTTCATCTTCAACTGCCTAGCTGAAGCTATCGAGTGGATAGCTATCCAGCAGGGGGTCACCCACATCCACAACTACCTTGATGACTTCTTCGTCGCTGGAACAGCCGACTCAGAGCAGTGTTCACAACAGAGTGGCACTCAGACTGTCACCTGGAACGAGACGCACTCCCTCCTCGTCTCCAGAGTGGCACCCAGACTGTCACCTGGAACGAGACGCACTCCCTCCTCATCTCCAGAGTCGCACCCAGACTGTCACCTGGAACAGACGCATTCCCTCCTCATCTCCAGAGTGGCACCCAGACTGTCACCTGGAACGAGACGCATTTTCGCCGTGCCCAGCTCTGCCAACACTCGGCACCTGGCCGGCCTTAGGCATTCCCCTCGCTCCCAGCTCTGCCACTCAGCCTGGCACCTGGAGCCGAGACGCACTAACACCGTGCCCAGCGCCGCCATCCTCGATGGCACCTGGCCGGTCACAGAGCTGCCCCTTACAGGTCGGGTTCGGCCAAACAAGTAGAATAGGTTTGCCTCACATGGACTGCTATTACGTGAATGATTGTTTTAATGGTTTAAAAATGGGCATTTTTTTATGTAACCGTTTTTAGTATTGTGTGAATGTTAATGTTCTTGTTTAGAGTGTCCTACCAGCCGCCATGGCTTTCTCTAGTCAGAACTACAATCCAAATGATTCCCGTCTTAATCGCCTTAAATTTTCTTTTCTTACCAACACAATCAAAGTTAGGACCAATTTGCCTCATAAGCAGTTAACACATTTAAAATCTAACTATAAATAATGGGTGTATATACTTCGTGAATTAGCTCTGCCATTTTGTCTATCCTTGTTCATATTATGGAGAAATTGTATTTAAAATAATTACGATTCTAATCGCCTTTCCATTTAACCCAGTTGCTTCTAGCCTCGTAAAGGCAGAGAAACTTAGCCTTGGTAGCACCAAAATACAGGGAGGGAGTAGACGACCAACTGAGTCAGCATCCCCAACAACAGCCTTGAAATGATTGCTTGAATGTCCAGGTATATATCACAGTGTTCTTTCTACGGTCTCCTTGAGAAGCTAGATTTGATACCTGACACCCTTAAAAAAAACCTTCCATTTCAGTTTATCCCTTACCGGCTGATCTGTGTAGCTAGATCTAACGGCATGTGTTCATAATTCATATTTAAATTAGTGTGTGCAAAAGGAGCCACACATATACTTTTCAGGAAAAAAGTGGGGCCGGCAGGGATTAAACCATAATGGAAATTCCATTCCACAACGCAGTGTCTTACTTATCTGTTACTTACTGGAAGTTAGTAATTGAACGGAGAAGTGAGCATTGTTTGATGCAATGCACCCCAAACAATGGCTGTGCCTAGTAGTCGCAGCGTCTGATTGAGGAAACAACAATGGTGAATGGTGAATCTGCACTCAATAATGAACCTCCTGTAGGCAGAGTCTGGTTATAAAACACTGAAAACCCTCGGCAAAGTGCGCATATTGTATTATTATGGGCTGGGCTATTAGAGTGTGTTTGCCCATGGTCTCCCACTAGTAGCTAGAGAATCTGACGTCGGATAGCTATAGTAGTAGATAGCTTGCGGGAATCGATACACGCCATCTTCTCTTGCCCTTGACCAGGCTGAGGTAAGTCTGTGCTAATTTGCTTGCTAGTTTCACTTGCTCTCATGCTTGCCATGTGCTTTCTATTCTGCAGTTGTCTATGCACAATTAGCTCGCTAGTTTCCGATGCTTTCTTTTAACAGCCTTCCTTTAGCCTTCATAACTGATTTGACACACTCTCTGACTGTAACACCCGCACGCGCTTCATGGCTTTGTCTAGTCTGGTGCCCAGACCCTTCACAAAATATACGCGCACACGTATATATAAATGCATGCGCGAGGGACGGAGAGAAGGGTCTGGAATTTTCAGCAAGCACTTACCCAACTGTGATGAATATCATTATGGGCTTTGTACTTACGCGCGTGCGTATTTTGTGATCTGGGCACCAGACTAGGCTTTGTCTGGCAAATTATGCTCTGCTTTTCTCTTGGCTCGAAAGACATGTTGGCAAGATTTACACACTTTCAGCCTTAGTGGTACAATAGTTTTACACCGTGGGCATACCTTACTTGGAGAATTGGAGAACGTCTTCGCACCGAACGAGAAACAAAATGGCCGCTTTCAACCACGTGGTAGAATATAATGCACATGCACATTTTTCGCAGCGATAAAAATGACCCACTACGCATTAGCCGTACAATGCTGGAAGCGCTCAAGCTTTGCAACGGAGCATTTTCAGATAAAACCGCTCGAAATTTCTAACCTTCATTGCCCGTTAAGCAAGTCGTATTGTTTGTGAGACGAACGAACATTGGAGAAGTGAGATGTTGAGTAACAGACACACAGACAGACAGACCGAACTACTGTACCCTCGCTGCGCATGCGTGCCGAGGGTAATAATGGAATAAGCTGGGATTATATTGTATTATTATGGTCAAAAGCTGTGGTGCAGACAAATTATTATGACATTACCCCCTAGTATATATAATTTTTTTCTATATACAGGGATCAAGCTACATTTTACCAGTTTGTTGGTGGGATATCAGCTAATGGGGGACGTGATGGACCCGAGGACATAATGGGGGGACTAAAGGTTGCACTGAATAATCTTTCCTGGAGGCCTGCTGGCTCAAGAGTAAGTTCCATGCTAGTCTCGGACCCCAGGCCTTCACTGTGTAAGCCGTGCTACATTGCGCTATGCAAAATTGTGCATGGGTGAACTCCAAAATTTTTTGCATGTACTATAACACTGAGAAAACGGGAGAGACCTGGGTTACCGAAGCTTGCTCTACCAAGCAAAATTTCATAAACAGTCAGAAGTAGTTTATGCTTGCATGTTTTGAAATTTTTCAGGTCCTTGTTCACATTGCTGATTGCCCATGTCATGGTACAATGTACCACAACATGTCTGACAACTACCCAAATGGTGACAGGGAAGGAATAACACACGAGCAGATGATGGCAAACGTCAAGGATCGGGAAGTAGATTACTGGTTTGGTTATATAAACCGCGGAAACACCGACAAGATGATTTCTATCTTCAATGACTGCCTTCAACGAGTTAGCAACCAAAGGCTACTTATCAGACAGTTTGATGCCATGCAGCCAACCGAGGTCCGTGCCTCTGTTCATCGCTCCGTTTCTGCCAGTATCTATGGCTCACAAGCAGCCAAAAACGCTCGTCTGAGAAAGTACAAGATTGATTCTACCATTCCTGAGTGGCACTCCACATCACTAATTGAAAACTACGGACAAAAAACACCAGCTGTAGGGATAAAGTCCCTTTATGATCTGCAAGCGGGGTTGCTTCCTGAGCAACCGACTATACCTGTTACATTCAAGTGTGCCCCAAATCCTTTTGCGGAGGGCAGTGAATGCCTCGTCTACCATGGCTATGACCTAACCAACAAGAGAGCAATGGTCTTGAAGAAGTATAAACGAGACGGGGCGGAATTTAATAGCCTTGATTGCTATATGCGCGAGATTGAAGTACGCACGATATACACCACCTATGCCAGCCATTTTAACAATCTCAAGACCAAGCCACCAGGGTCGGCAAGGCTGGAAGTAATCCCAGTGGATGTGGTGTCCTGTCCTGGTCAAGACTACTATATCATGGAGACCTTCCTGGGAGGAGAGGTGGAGAAGTACAGCAACAATGCTGGCGTAGTGTGCAGCAAATCCCCCCATTCTGAACTTCTGCAAGCCTTCAGCCACTTTACTTGGGTAGTGTCGGGGAAGTCCCTTGTCATTTGTGATCTCCAAGGAGTAGAAGGGCCAGGTCATGTGACCCTTACTGATCCAGCAATTCACTCCGTTACAGCCAGTACTTATGGACACACAGATCTTGGGCAAGAAGGAATCCACACCTTTTTTAAGACACACTTGTGTGGAGATGTATGTAGGGTTATGGGATTTAGCATACAGATTCCATAATTTCCCTGAACTTATAAAAGACTTGGATTTAGTGCATACTGCCTTTTAGAAAATGGTGTAGACTGTTGTAACTTGTGTACTGAATTAGAGAGATTTCCAGTGGGCGTTGTATGACATTCGATTAATGCTCCTGTCGTAAGTCACGACCATAAGAACTGATAAATCGCGTACAGCACGGGCACACATTTTATAGACGGTAAACACGTGGTTGAGAAAGTTCTAGAATGTTATGTAATGTGATGGTGTCCTGCGGGTGATGATTCAATGTCACATAACTGTGTAACTACGACCCAGGTTGAGTTCACTACACTCACTTTGTTCATTAGATCTCTGCTCACACCTCACTGCTTTAATCCGTCTGTCTCATGTACCGCATATTATAGTCGTCCTTAAAGGAGATATCGGGTTGAAACCATTCTTTGCATGTGAATTCTTACGTGGAGAACGGAAGTACAATGGGGTCCATGGGTATTAATAGTAGGTAATGCCTGCTGGTGTGTTTTGAAGGCTTAGCGAGTTGTGTTTTCCCCAGTTTAGAGGCATTCAGTAGGTGTTAACATGAGATTTCACTCGTGCCATCCATGTCTCACGCTCTGAAAGCTCTAAAATGTTTATTGTCTTGTGCCAAGCTAACGTTATATTTTGCAACTAGTATGGCTTTTTTACGCAAAAACGTAATGAATCAAAGCTAACTCCAGCTCTAGCACCAATCTATAAAGTTACATGTTAGCAATTGCAATGTTCTTTGAGTTTCCAATTGTAATTACTAAACAGTATTTCTTGTAAAAGGTTATTTCTTACTTGAATTTTACATTTTCTCATAATCAATTTGAAAATGACTGCTATGGGACAACCAATGGCTGCCCATAATTTCCTAGAAGTTGGGACACGACAATTAACCTTTTGTTTTGGTGGGACACTGATCTCAACTTCTACTTCGGTGCTTTCCTGACCACGTTTTTGATTCCGAAGATGACCATTGATGAGAAAAGTAAATTGTTGTTTTGGAACCAATTGAAAGTTGTCCCTTTGAAAAATTGGTGGATAACTCCGGGGACAGTGAGTTTGTGAGTGTAGTGCCACTACCTTCGGTAATAAAACTTTGCGGTATGCATAATTCACCTCTTCATCCAATTTGTTGTTGCAACTCCCCACAGGCTCATATCCATCCTTTATCCCTTGTCCTTGGCCGACAGCAAGCTGCACTCGGCCCAAATATCGCTTGGGCTTCCTTCAAACCCCATTATGATGGGCATCAAGATATGATCCCCTGTAGCGGTTGGATTCAAGGGCTACAATAATTTAGTCAATCGCCATTGAGCCCAGTCTTTGTTGACCGGAGGGTTAGGGGCATGTGTGAGGTGAACTTTGCCATCATGATGGGAATCCATATACTGGTTGCGATAACGATAACTCTCAAGGACTAGGGTGCCATTATCTCCTTCGTGAACTAAAAACCTTGTCCATACAGCATTCGGTAAGTCGGTGTGATTGCATTCTGTTAGCTACGCGAACAAGGTAGGAATGATGGCAATCTGCATAGGATCAGTCATACCTTCGGGATTGCAGGGTGATGACTCGTCCAATGATTTCCGCTTCGTTGATACTCATGGGAGAACTATTAGCTAGAAGCACAGGAGATATTTATCCAGCAGGCACTTGAACTGATTTGAACCAGCAGCGAACTGGGCTACTAGCCGGTCTGTATTTTAAGGCAAATAGCTAAGCACAATTCGTCACCCATGCACGTCAGCTCGCTTGAAAGGAATGTGTGGCATTTGTTTTATATACGCTCCCACGTTATTCGTAGTTGATTTTGTCAATGCCAGTTACTTCACTCCCCCAAACATAAGTTAGCTGCTGATCCACTTGTCTCTCGGCCTCACAGACGGTAGCTAACCCCCTGATCTGCGTGGATCCTACGAGCTAAACGCCCTAGACAGCTATAGCTAACGGTTTTTGCTGCTAAATTGCCAGCACTAGCGAGAGTCCTGAAACACCCACATTATTTCTGTCCTGCCAGGTATCAAGAACTTCACAAGAACCTGAATTATCATTACTGCCGCCGAAAGCGTGGCAGTGCCTACTGATTGATTTGCGGATCCAGCGGCCGCCTCGCAAACTGCGCGCGGGAAAGCCTGCAGGTCTGCAGCTAATGACTATGTATGTCGAGTATTATCGGCACCCTCACATTATCGGATGGCCGTGGAAAGTGTTGTATTAGTTTTTGTTACATCTGTTTGTAGCCATATACCTAAGCTAATACTAGCTATAAAAACAAGTTGCTGCCTCTAAGCATCCGGCCGTGACACCCGCTAAAACTACGGTGTCCGATTGTCCCGACCATCGGACGATAATACAAAATATCGGACACGGCGCTTGCGTTCGAGAAGGCAGCAAGCTAATCGAGTCAAATCATGGTCAGCAAGTAGGCCTACCTTCGTTCTACAAAACATGTAAGTACGAGCTTCGTTAGCTTTTCCGTGACTTCAGGGCAGGCGTAATTTTTGCCGCATAAACATCCTCCAATTATCGGACAGGTCCCTGGCGCTTCACGGGTGTGAATTTCGCTACGAATGTGCTGAACCATTATAAAATAGCTGTCTTTCAACGTTAGAAGAGTCTATTCGTGTATCAGTACATGTTTTTCCCCCAGTGCTTTGTTCTTCTCGCAAGACAACGCCCGCGCAATACTTCGGGACAGTAAGCTAGCTATAGACAGTGGAACTCAACAACTCAAATGTTGAAGTGAAAATCAGCCAGCAATAGCTGGCTCATTGGAGCGATATGTGAACAATGGAGAAATCAATGGCAAATTTTGCAAACCCACTGAACTTTGTGAGTAGAAGAGAAGACTCCATCTGGTATGTCCATGCATTCCTTATGATAACATGGCATTCATCGCACTGTGCCCAATTAAAGTGATCACTGTGTGGCATTCGGCATACAGAGTGCAGTTCAACCTTGATCAGGCTTTTAACACCATGCAGCCTGTCTCTTTCGGGGTTCACGAGGAAAATCAGAAAGCTTGAAAGCCTCCAGGCATGCTGCCAAATGCAGGCGAAGCAGCTCTCTCCGAATAAATATTACAGTTCCTGGATTGCACCCATTGCAAATTTCATGGGCAATGGATATTGTGAGGACTCCACAGTCAGAGAGATTGGCTTGTTTTTCAACCTTCATCATTCGGACAGTGATAGTGGTGGCTGAGCTGGATAATATTCGAGCAATGACATGGAGTATCTTCGGAGACTGAAGAATAAAAGGTGTCGTAGACACTGACGAAATTCTCCTCACATCCAACATAATATGATACTACACACCAGTGGTTACCACGAACATGGAGAATTTGAACAAATTCACCTTTAGATACCTCAAAAGAGGATGTTTCTTGTAGTACTGGTTGTTTCAGCCCACCCATTGAAGGAAATTCATTGAGCTGCACCTATGATTTTATCATTGAGCCACCCCTCTCTGGACAGTACAGCATCTTTATCATCACTGTTGCTTGCTTGTTCAAATTCTCCATGTTCATGGTAACCACTGGTGTGTAATATCAAAATATTGGATGTGAGGAGAATTTCGTCAATGTCTACGGCACCTTTTTTCTTCAGTCTCTGAAGTGACTCTTCATGTCATTGCTGGATTATTGGCGAGCGGAAGCGAGCTAACCTAGTGGTCCGAACGGCGCGATTTTTCTATATATATATATATATGTACCCGTACGTCGTTTTCATAATGCTGCCTGAATCGAGCGGAATCAGGGGAAACGCAACACCTCCGAAGCTATCGAGTATTGCTGCACAGTCCAGCGAGAGATTTTTCTACATTGCCACTTGTTCCCTATTCCTGCAAGACCAATCAGATTGCCGGATTATGCCTGATTCGCGCTGTCGTCTGACTGTTTTTGACTCGACTCGAATTGTCTACTGCGCTCGGGTCGTTTCGGCCAACTTGGCCCTGTGCAATGTATCTCACTGTTTTGTGCACACACAAGAGTGACTCATACGATTAGACCTCAATTGTAAGCGCGCTTCCGCTCGCCAAAAATGCCATGCATTCGCCTACTAGTTATCCAGCTCAGCTACCACTATCACTGTCCGAATGATGAAGATTGAAAAACAAGCCAATCTCTCTGACTGTGGAGTCCTCACAATAGCCATTGCCCATGAAATTTGCAATGGCCAGGAACTGTAATATTTTTTGGGAGAGAGCTGCTTCGCCTGCATTTGGCAGCATGCCTGGAGGCTTTCAAGCTTTCTGATTTTCCTCGTGAACCCCATAAGAGGCAGGCTGGTGTTAAAAGCCTGACCAAGGTTGAACTGCACTCTGTATGCTGAATGCCACACAGTGATCGCTTTAATGGGCACAGTGCGATGAATGCCATGTTTGGTATCATAAGGAATGCATGGACCTACCAGATGGAGTTTTCTCTTCTACTCACAAAGTTCAGTGGGTTTGCAAAATTTGTCATTGATTTCTCCATTGTTCACATATCACTTACCAATGAGCCAGCTATTGCTGGCTGCTTTACACTTGAAGATTTGAGTTGTTGAGCTCCACTGTCTATAGCTAGCTTACTGTCCCGAAGTATTGCGGGGGCGTTGTCTTGCGAGAAGAACAAAGCACTGGGGGAAAACATGTACTATACACGAATAGATTCTTCTAACGTTGAAAGACAGCTATTTTATAATCGTTCAGCACATTCGTAGCGAAATTCACACCCGTGAAGCGCCAGGGACCTGTCCGATAATTGGAGGATGTTTATGCGGCAAAAAGCTAACGAAGCTCGTACTTACATGTTTTGTAGAACGAAGGTAGGCCTACTTGCTGACCATGATTTGACTCGATTAGCTTGCTGCCTTCTCGAACGCAAGCGCCGTGTCCGATATTTGGTATTATCGTCCCATGGTCGGGACCATCGGACACCGTAGTTTTAGCGGGTGTCACGGCCGGATGCTTAGAGGCAGCAACTTGTTTTTATAGCTAGTATTAGCTTAGGTATATGGCTACAAACAGATGTAAAAAAAACCAGTACAACACTTTCCATTACGTCTCCACGGCCGTCCGATAATGTGAGGGTGCCGATAATTGATAGGTTACTCTAATCACGTTAATT